CACCTTCCCACCTGAGGGGCTTCCTTGGGAGCATCTCCCCACCCAGCAGGCTCCTTCACTTCCTTGGGAGCATCTCCCCACCCAGCAGGCTCCTTCACTTCCTTGGGAGCATCTTCTCCCACACAGGGATCCATCCTTTCTCTGCAAGCATCTTCTCACCCAACTGGATCCGTCATTTCCTTGGGAGCACCTTCTCTCCCCACGGGCTCCACCACTTCTTTGGGATCACCTTTCCACCTGATGGGAACTATCGCTTCCTTGGGATCACTTTCCCATCCAAGAGAATCCATCGGGCGCTTGGGAACATCTTCCCACCCATGGGATCCATCGTTTCCCTGGGATCGTCTCCCACCCATCGCAGGGTCGGGATTGGCACTCGGAGCACGTCTGGCAGGAGGCTCCACGAGGACTGGGGGGGTTTCCAGCTCCACCCAGTATGACCAGTCAGTGTCCCAGTATGTCCCAGTCCCCCAAACAGCCCAGGCTTGATCCAGCACGGGCAGGAATCCCAAGTTTCTGAGGTTCCTTGGCAATCCAGCCACGAGCTGCCCACGGAATCTGGGCTGAAAAATAAAAAAGGATCAGGTTTTTTTCCCCCCTTTCACCCTGGGCTTGACCCAGAGCAGGATCCACGTCCCATCTTCCCTCTCTGTTCCCAAACCGGGATTTTACCCGGAACTGGGGACAAAACCAATCTGGGAATGTTCCAGTTTGCCACGAAATCCCGCCGTCCTCATCCCAGGGGGGAGGGATCCAACGGCTCCCTGAGCTATCCTGGGATGTTCAGATGAATTCCAAAGGGGATCCATGAATTCCAAAGGGGATCCAAGTGGCGGAGCAGCAATTCCAGGCGGGAAGAAGGGCTGAGGAGGTGGCTGGGTCTCGTTTCCACATGTTCCACACCCCGGGATGGCACCTGGGAGGGTGTTCCCTCCACTCATTTCAATCCATGAAATTCCAAATTCCACAGAAATTCCAGATTTTTGTCTTCTCCTTTCCCTGTTCTCCCATCAACCTGGTTTGGGTTTTTTTTTGGGAAGGAACCTCGGCAGAGGAAGGAGCAGATCCAAACCCTCGTCCCACCGCTCCGGGAGATGCATCCCAACCCCGAAATCCTCGGAATAAGAGGCAGATCCAAGTGTTTCTCCATTTGTTTATTGTCCTTCCAATACTGAAACCCCCTCACAATACAGTTATGGATTAATTATTGATTCCAGATCCTCCTGCTGCTGAGACTGTCAGGGTTTAGTGGGAAATTATTATCATTTATTATTATTATTATTATTAAATGTCGGGGTTATTATGGGAGATTTGGAGTCACAATAAATCCAAGGGACAAACTCCCCACCCTGTGCTCCCTCCTTCCAAAAGGAGAGGGAAAAATGAGCCAAACTGGGTTTTTTTGATGAGCTCTCCCTAAATTTGCTCCATTCCACTCCCTCCTGCAGCCCAAATCCCTCAAAACAGCATTTGCCACTTCGGGAATTTAATTTTTCCTCAATAAGCCAGAAAGAAGAAGTTCTAACTGGGTCTGAGAATCCAGAGGGAAATGCAGGGATCCCAAAACGATGCTAAAAACACCTGTAGAAACAAAAAACCCAACCCCAAACGAGCTTGGATTTATGATTATCCAAGAGTTTTCCTCACCATCACAGCGGGAATGGCAGGTCCAGGAATCCCTGGAACACAAAAATGAGTGAAGTCCCGTTTTCCACGAGCTGGAAAGGCTGAGGACACAAAGGAGGAGGTTCAACCCTCTCTGTTTTCAGCGCTGAAACTGGAGAATAAATTAATTACATTTATATTTATATATATAAAAAAAAAAAAGAGAGAACGAAATCCAAGAAAAACCACACGGCTCCCAAAATTTCCAACACGGGTTTCCAATGAAAATCCGGGGTTTATTTCACAAGTTGCTAAAATCTAAAGTACAACAGTCGTTTCCCATTATTTTAGTCACTGGCTTAGAAAATTCCCGTCGTCGCGACGTCGCCGAGGGAGGAGGTTTGTTTTTTATGGCTTTGTGGGAATCCCTCGATCCCTCTCCCCAGGAGAGGCGGGAGCCGGACCCCCCCCGGAGCAGCTCATGCAGCGAAGCAGTGGAGGGGCAGGAAAACGGGATACGAGGCCGGATGTTCCACCCGGAGGGTTTTCCAGGGCCGGATATTCCACCCGGGTTTTCCGACGGAGAGCGGAGTCCAACGGGAGGTTTGTGCCGCTCCAGGAGGTGATTCCCTGACAGATCCAAGAGCCCTCAGGGACTCAGGAATCCCAAAGGCCTCAGGGATTCAGGAATCCCAAAGATGATCCAAGAGCCCTCAGGGATTCAGGAATCCCAAAGGCCTCAGATATTCAGGAATCCCAAAGGCCTCATGGTTTCAGGAATCCCAAAGGTGATCAAAGAGCCCTCAGGGATTCAGGAATCCCAAAGGTGATCCAAGAGCCCCTTTGGAATCAGAAATCCCAAAGTCCTCAGAGATTCAGGAATCCCAAAGGCCTCAGGGATTCAGGAACCCCAAAGGTGATCCAACAGCCCTCTGGGATTCAGGAATCCCAAAGGTGATCCAACAGCCCTCAGGGATTCAGGAATTCCAGGTGATCCAACAGCCCTCAGGGATTCAGGAATTCCAGGTGATCCAACAGCCCTCAGGGATTCAGGAATTCCAGGTGATCCAACAGCCCTCAGGGATTCAGGAATTCCAGAGGTGATCCAACAGCCCTCTGGGATTCAGGAATCCCAGAGGTGATCCAAGAGCCCTCTGGGATTCAGGAATCCCAAAGGCAACAACAGCAGTAGGAATAACCCCAAGATTTGTTCCTAAGTTTGTGTCTAACCCCCCCTCCTCCACGATTCCCAAGGATTTCCCCTCCAGGCAGGCCCATGATGGGAATATTCCTTTTCACTGAGATTTTTTTTGTCGTTTTTCTTTTTTCCCCCCATGTTTCTGTGGGGGTTTTCTTCCGGTAAAAAGGAGAACAGGAGGATGAGGAGGAGGTTTGGAAAAACTGTATTAAAGTGTTTGAACAACTCTTTCAAACCTGACCGAGCCCAGTCCCACAACACCCAACTCAACCCGAGGCCCCGAAGGAAAAGCCTCTCTCCCGGAATTCGCACATGGATCCACTTCAACCCTTCCCCAGATTCATCCACGATTTGGCAGAAACAAAACAAACCAACCCCCCGGATCCCCCGCGGCACTCCCGGGAAACCACGTCAGAACCGGCTGGAATCCCAACAGCCTCATTCCCTGCTGGATTTCGGGGGGGTTTCAGCCTCGTCCCATGTAGGATTTTTCCCCTTCCCTTTAAAATAAAATCTCTCCCGACCCCCTAAAATAGTATTTTGGGGATTTTTACTCTCAATTACACATGAAGAAATTCGGGATATAACACTTTTTTAAGCCTGGATGCACAAAACCTGTTTTGCTTTTCAGTTCCAAACCTTAAAACTAAAATATCCCCGATCCTTTTAAGGCTTCTTTTAAATTCTCCACGTTGGGCTGAAAATCCCGTTTCCGAGCACTGGGCTGGTGGGATCCCAGAAAGGTTCTGACGTGGCTTTTGTAACATTTGATTTTATATTTTCTGCCCCTCTTTCGCTCCCCGTTGGTTTGTTTTTTTTTGTTTTCCCCAGAATCATCCAAAGTTGTTCCCCAACACTGGAAAATTAATTGGGAAGTTGCCCAGGTTTTCCCCACAAAAAAAAAAAAAAAAAAAAGGTTTCTGGATTTTAATTTGAGGAGTTTTCCTTGGTTTTTTTGTTGTTTTTTTTTGAACCAAACGAACTTTTCCAGGGGATTTAACAGCGATCAAACATCGGCGTCGACGAGGAGAAAACGCAGGAATTCGTCAGAGGAGAGGGGGGAAAAAAAAATCCCCGGAAACCAACCAAAAAAATTCCACACAGGGAAGGAACCGAAACTTTCCCGGGAATATCAAGTGCAAAAGGCAAATGCACTCCAGTTCTCCCTCCACATTCCCAACCCAAACCGGCCTGGAATGAACAGAAACCTTCCAGAACTTCACCCCCAACTCCCCCTCCCTCCCTCCATCCCCTCCTAGTTCTTCAGATCCCTTTGGAAGATTGGAATTCCGGGGCTTTACGCCCAGCAAACGAATCCCAGTCTGGAAAACGAGGAGGGTTTTCGAGGCGAAAAAAACCCCTTAAATCTCGATCTTCGCCCAGCAGGGAAAAGGGGGGAAGGGGGAAAAAGGCTGGAATTCTGTCACTACGCCGCGGGCAGATCCGAGGGGGGGACGACCCGAGGGAATTCTTGGCTTCAAGTTTCGATCTCCCGGCGACTGCTACGAAAATAAACTCGGCTCCGACGGAAGCCCCTGCCCCTCTTATATATAGATATATAGATTATATATATATATAGACTTTCCCAAATAATTCTCATCATCATCATCATCAGCACTCCCTTCCAGCACTGATATGCAAACAGCAAGGCATAAGGCATGGAATTCTGCCGCTTCCATTCGACTGGAAACCCGGGAGAAGCGCGAAGGAGGAGGGACGGGGAACGAAAACCGACCAAACCGGACCCGAGGGGATTTTTGGGATCAACCAAAACTCTCCCCCTAAAGCTCCACCCGGAGCGGGATGGTGATGGACAGAGGAGCATGCTCGGGATGCCCTGGAAGAACTCGGAAGGGATCACAAATTCCCCCCCCCAAAACGTGCTGGGAACGGCCGGAATTCCCGGCGGGAATCACCAGAGGGAGGATCTGCCGGCGCCTCCCGCTCTCTCCCTGATTGCATGCAGCTCCTGGGATTCCTATTCTTTCGAGTAATATTCCTCCAAACAAACAACAACAACAACAACAACAAGAGAAACAAAAAAAAAAAAAAAACCAAAAAAAAAAAAAAAAAAAAAGAGAGAAACCAAAACCCCTCCAAAAGGAAAATTATCCCAAACACGGTTTCACTTCGGAGTCTCCGGGAACGTAGGAAAGGCCCAACTGCTCTTCGCTGAATTAGAAAGACCCAACAAAGGTTTTGTCTAGTCAGTAAATTAGGTTTTTAAACTACCAACGGTTCCAAAGTCTATTCCAAAACAGAATCCAACAAAAGTGAGAGACTCCTGCGTGGTTCCCACCTACCAGGCAAGTTTTGGTGGCAGCCAATCCCTTGGGAAAAGGACCGTGCTCAACTGGAATCGGAGTCCGCGCTCATTTATCGTTAGCTCGTCACCACCAGAAGGGGATTTCGGGAATATCGGGATGTGTAGACTCCCTTCCTGGCTGGAGGAGGGGCAGGGAAGAGGAGCAGCCACGAACTCGGCTCACTAAATGCAGGATGGGGCTGGAATTCCTCCCTCCTGGCCCCCGAATTCCACGCTGGAGCGCGGCCCGGCGCTTGTCGCCCGGGTTTGTCGCCGGGAACGAACCCAAAGGCGGAGAGAAGTCACTGAGTCCTTTGTGCTGGTGACGGAAAAATCCAAACTAAATACAGAAAGCCAAAAAAACCCGAAGGAATCCTTCCCCTCCCTGCCAGCCTCCGTCGGAACCCGGGACCCGCGGGGGTCACTCCTCTCGGCAGGGACGGCGGCACTCGGTGGGATGAGGAGTGGTCTTCTTGCATCCTAGAAAGCCTGGGGCGTATCCAGCTGGGATTAAAGCAGATTCCACGGAACTGTGGTATAAAAAGGATGGCAGAAACAGGACAAGTCTCGCCGGGCATTATTTCCACGTGGCCGACTGTGGGATGGAGCGGGGCGGGATCATATCCAGGAGATACTCGCGCTGCCGGTCCACGGCCGAGGCCGATTTGTGCACGGCTAAGCTGGGACTGACGAAGGGCAAAGCCCCGCCTGGGCATCGGGGAGGAGAAGGGAGAACAGGAGTCATGGAATGACACGGACACGAGGCACAGCAGGGGCAAAGCCCACCCCTGATCCCCGTGGGAATGGGGCGCTCCGGGCACGGATCATCCCCGGGACCGACACCTTCAGGAGGTGGGAGCTCCCAAAATCATCTCAACAAACAGAGGGAGATTTTGGGACCAGAGATGAGGATCTGAACTCTCTGGAAGGAGGATCTGAGCTCTCTGGAAGGAGCATCTGAACTCTCTGGAATGAGGATCTGAACTTTCAGGAAGGAGGATCTAAACTCTCTGGAATGAGGATCTGAGCTCTCTGGAATGAGGATCTGAACTCTGGAAGGAGGATCTGAACTTTCAGGAAGGAGGATCTAAACTCTCTGGAATGAGGATCTGAACTCTGGAAGGAGGATCTGAACTTTCAGGAAGGAGGATCTAAACTCTCTGGAATGAGGATCTGAGCTCTCTGGAATGAGGATCTGAACTCTCTGGAATGAGGATCTGAACTCTCTGGAATGAGGATCTGAGCTCTCTGGAAGGAGGATCTGAACTCTCTGGAAGGAGGATCTGAGCTCTCTGGAATGCAATTACATCTTAACCGATCGATTAAACTGTCAGGAATGAGAGAATCCCGGGAAATCCACCACTGCTGGGCAGGAGGGATCACAAAGGAGCCGTTTGCTCCAGTGGTTCCTTCTTGGAAATGCTGGAATTAACATTTAGGTAAACAAATGACTCTTCTCAAGTCATGTTCTTATGTAAAAACACATAAAAAAGGTTGGGTTAGAATTTATGATTTCCATTTGTTCAAAGAACAGCTTCGGTGATCCCAGATCCTGAGGATATTGGGAACATTCCCATGGGAATTTGAAATATCCCAATGGGAATTTCAACACAGGCCCACTTATTTACTGGGTGTTACTTCCAGCAAAGAGAAAACATTGGTCAAAAACGAAAGGATTTAATGAAACCCCCAGAAATGAAGGACAAACCCCCGGGGTGCTGGATGGGCACAGGGACTCCGGGATCACCGGCTGGGCTTCAGATCCCTTCAGCTGAGCCATGAACGTGGAAAACAGGAGGGTTTGTTTGGTTTCACCTCCTGGTGGCCCCCTTGGATGGGGACAAACCACCCCAAGGGCAACGATCCCAAGAGTTGATGCTCAGCGTCCTCATTTCTCCGGGCAGGAAACCCCACTGGGAAAGGGATCCCGGAGGGAAAACGGCCCTTCCCTGAGCCCTGGGAATGCTGGGCAGGGAGCACAGGGAGAGGAGGCTCCAGGGGAGCCCTTCCCCATGCTCAGGGGGACCCTTACCCGTGCTCAGGGGACCCTTCCCTGT